TGACACCAAGTTGGGAGGAGTTGCAGACACTCTAGAGGGCAAGGCTACACTCTAGAGGTCCAGAATCATAGAATCAATGAATCGGAAGGGACCTAGACAGATCATCTAGTCTGACCCCCCGCCATGGGCAGGAAGGAGCACTGGGGGTGATGACATGGATTGATTGGAAAAACGGTCCACAATCAACCAGATGAAATTCAACAAGGACAAGTGCAAAGTCCTACACTTGCATGCACAAATACAGACTGGGGAATGACTGGATGAGCTGCAGTGCTGCAGAGAAGGACCTGGGGGGTTACTGTAGGCCATAAATTAAATACAGCAAAAGCCGTGTTATCTGGCACTTTACCATCCAGAATGCTCCACTAACTGGCATCTGTCAATACAATTCTGCCTTCTGAGGGATGCAGCAAAAGCACAAACAGAAGTCCCACTTCTGGTTTTGCCACCACAAGCCAAATCCCACTTCTTCCTTGTGGACCATGGCCCAGGGCAAAGCAGACTGCATGGTGCCCCCCTCCCTGTCCCCCAGCACACTGATGCCAGGGAGTGAAAGCCCTGGTGCACCGGACACGGCATATTTGATTAACTGGCATATTTGATTAACCGGCATCCCCCATTCCCCATGGATGCTGAATAACAGAGCTTTTACTGTAGAAACCAATAGTTTGCTCTTATTGCAAAGAAGGCCAACAGCATCCTGGCATGTATTAACAGAATTGTCACTTGAAAATCAGAGGAAGTGATTCTTCTGCTCGATTCAGCACTGGTAAGGCCTCACCTGGAAGATGGTGTCCAGTTCTGGGCCCGCATTTCAGGAAGGAGATGGATGGATTGCAAAGAATCCAGCACAGAGTGGCACCATTTATTAGAAGCCTGGGAAGCAAGACTTAAAGGCCAAAAGAAATAGGGTGATTTGTTGTGGAGAAGAGAAGACTGATGGGACATTTGGTAACAGTCTTCAAATACCTGAAAGGTGATTATAGAAAGAATAGGGGTGGGTTTTTCTCAGTGGCTGTAGGGGGCAGGACTAGGAGCAATGGCCTTATCTGCAGCAGGAGAAACTGAGGTTGAAGGGGAGGGGAGCTTTCTGACTGTGAGGGTAATCAAGCACTGAAACAGGCTGCCTAAAGAAGTTGTGGGATCTCCACCCGTCACATTTCACCAGGTTAGATGGACACGTGGCTGGGACAACTTAGTGATCCTGCCTTCAGTGGCAGGTTGGACTAGATGACCTCATGCCGTCCCTTCCAGCCCTGCTTTCCAATGATCCTATCAGTAGCTCTCTGCTTTTCATATAATTGACCAGGAAGAAAGCTGGTTTCTCCTCCCTGCCCTTCCCTGTTTTCCCAAATGCAACTTTCCCCTTAAGCAGCAGCTTCAATTGCATCAGGCTCTAGCCTAGTAATCGGCTCTTACTCCTAATCCCGGTCCAACCCCAAATCAGCTGAGAGAGATTTCCATTCTCTTCCCACTCTCTGTTTTGGGCTACGATCCAGGAGAGCCAGGACTCTCTCTCAGTGCCTGTTCGTACAGCACCTGCTCGAGCTGGAGCTTCTGCAGGCTACCGGATGTCAGTGGCAGAGATGAGACCTGCACCTTTGATTGGCAAGATATTTATTCTCCTACTAGCACCAATCTTGGATTTGCTGAAGCTGAAGCAGGTCATGGCACCAACCAGCAGTGATGGGGGATCCATTCACTAGGATCCCCCATGTCTGATGAGTAATTATCCCTTCCTTGATCATAGCCCAAAGGTCCATCCGGCCTGTAACAAACTTCACTGACTTTTGGCAGGAAACTGCTCTCCTAAAACATAGCTGGTTCACTAGCCAGAAGTGGGACAGAGGCACCACCACAGGGCAGTGCCCATCTCTGGTGCCACTTTCAAACCACGAGACACGCAGAGGCAGGAGGGATGCTGAGAAGATGTGGACATGGCCAAAGTGCACATTAAAGGCCCAAAAAGCTGAGCCTGCTCTTGCAAATCCTAAAACCACCAAGGTATCAACAACCCTCGCCCCCCACTGAGTGCCAGAGGCTGGATCAAAGCCGCCCTTGCATCCTCCTAGCCTTGCCTTTGAGATCTCTGATCAAAGTGTACTACACTTCTAAAGCACATCTGGATTCATCTTCTCCCCTCCCAGCCCCTGCTAACAGCCCGGGGGCTTTTTCTACCCAAACCCCAAAGGTGCCTCTGGCCTTAGAGGTGGGGGTCAGACAGAGCCGGAAACCTGAGCAAGCTTCACTTTAACTGAAAGGGATTCACACTGGAGTCCTCAGGCTCCATCTTGGGTCCTGACCAGCGCGGCCCACTTCCAGATCCAGTGCAGATTTGCCCCAAAAATGGGAACACTCACCCGAGCACCTGTTTGGGGGATACTAAAGCCATTGTGCAAGGGCTGAAATATCAAGGGAGCTGTTCATGAGTCTCAGTGTATCATACCCATGCAGGGCCCCAGGCCCAGGTCAAACCTGGACCCGAATCCAGCCCCAATCTAAAAGCTACTACTTCATCTCATCTCTAGCCCATGTACAGGAGCCCATGTGGGGGGGATCCAGTTAAGATGAAATGAGGAGCCTTCTGGGCCTGTGCATGCATTGTCTCGCCAGGCTGAGACCCTCCCATGCTCTCTGCTGGGGTCAAGATGGTGATGCTGCCAGGGTACAGGGTGTGGGCCACATCCTGCAGGGAGCAGCACTCCCAGCAGACACTTAGCCAAGCCTGGGGTAACAGCAGTGCTACCAGGTGAATGATTTACCACTTGGTGCCTGCTTGTCTGCAGGGGAGGATAATGCACAGGAACTAGGAGCGTGCTGGCAGGAGACAGAGGGGAGGCTGCCACAGACTTGCGGTCCACCAACAACCCCCCCCCCC